CTCTCTCTCTCTCTCTCTCTCTCTCTCTCTCTCTCTCTCTCTCTCTCAATGCAGCTCCTCTCCAGATTTTGAGGGGAAACCTCTCCTGTCCTTAATCACATTGTCTCTGATAGAAAACATCATTCCTTCTTAATGCTTTCCCTCGTCAAGGCCTGATCATGGCTCCTATGGTCTCAAGGATCTTTCTCCTAACCAAGTTCATCCCTGAAGGGTATTTTTGTGCAGGCTTCTTTCCAAACCCAACCAACCAACCCCCGCCCAGTTCATCCATCTGCTGTAGCCCTTCTTCTCTGACATGAACCTGTGCTAGCATTACAAAATCTGAAAATAGGAAGTTCATTGCTAATTTGTACTGAAAAATATAAACAGTTGACAAGGTAAGTCACACAGCCAGGACTCCTTTGTAGATGGGCTGTACCAGCTTCCCTGCGGCTCAAGTACCCAGCCAGCCCCTTGCTGATTTTGCGTTGCCTGCCTGGCTGCTGGAGGAGACCGCTGCAGTTCTCGGTCCTAGGGTAGTCTTCAGGGCAAAATGACTATCCTAAGACGAGAATTCCTGAGAGGAAGGGCGAGTATGATTCTAACTTTTTAGATCAGCTAAGGGAGGAGACCCCTTCACCTGGGACCTGCCCTACAGAGCACCCTCCAGGTGGCTTTTAACCCTGAAATAACGCTCAGCAGTTACCATATACTAAATGATGCTTTGCCACCAAGAGCATGCACTGCGCATATACAAACGTAAGAGACCACCCTGTCTACCCTTTTTTTAACAGTACAGCAATAGAGGAGGTGTATTCTGCAGCTGCCCTCTGAGAGAAAACAGGCCCAGAGACCCACTTCCTGGAAACTGCTTCCAGACTAAAACCCTTCACCACTGCCCTTACAAGGGGCGGTGCATACTGTTTTATTGCAGGCTGCTGTTCTTCCCCTCACTCCAAGCCGTCCTTGCCCGGGCAGTAACTCAAGACGAACTCTTTAGAAACAGGAGCAAGTAGGCACGGACTCGGCACACTTCACGCGCTGAGTACCCGGGAGAGTCCCAGCTATCCGGGGGACATCCTCTGTACGCCCCTCCGCCACACGGGTCCACGACCCGACCCGACCCTCACCCCCACAAGCCGCCCACACTCTGCTATTCTAAGGCTCGGAGCCCGGCCGGAAGCTGCGTCTCCCCGGTCGGCTACAAATCCTGCACAGGGATCCGGCTTGCCCACGTGCGGTGCCTACAGCGCATGCGCACCCAGCCTGCTCGCAGTGGGCTCCCAGGATGCCCCGCGGCTGCGGAGCTAGCCGGGTGTCCTGTTGTCGCCGTGTTGCGGACGGGGTGTGCTACTAGAGTGCACCCTGCTTCGGGTTTCCTTCAGGCGCCCGTATCCAGAGTCCAGCCCTGCAGCGCAGTACGGGTGGGGAAGACTACCCGGGCTCTCGCCCGCCTCGCGTGTACCTAAAGAGACTCAGCCGGTGGTTCTCGCGAGAGCCCCGTGTTGGGGTCGTAGCTCGTCACCCGGTTTGACTCACTCGGCACTAAAGCAGCGATGGATGGGAGGGAGAGCGGAGTTGACGCGCGCCCCGCTGCTCGTTCTGAAAAGGAGATTCCCCTCTCCCTTTAATTTAGAAGCGACTTCAAATCCCTAGGTGTTGCTTCTGATGTCGCCCCCTCTCTCCCACACTCTCGGGATTCTGGCATGGCCCCGACTCGACCTGCCCTGCTTGAAAATGCACCCCCACCACCCACCCACAGGCCCCAACCATCAGTGATGGAACCAATGCATATCTGCTGCCCAGAGAAGTGGACTTGGCTGAGAGATCACTTTCCACGGAAAAACAGACCGATCGCCCTTTGTAAGGGACCTAGGCAATGGACCCCATGGAGGGTGCAGGAAAATAGCTGGAAAAGCAGGGAAGCCTCCGAGAGGGCGAAGACCTGTCTACGACCAGGAAGGATGGACAGTTTAAGCCAGTGAAAGTAGACTGTGCTATTCCTGGATAGGGAGGCCCAGGCCTGAGTTCCACCTGCTACTTAGATATTTCTTACCTTCAAGAGATCATTTCAAATGATTTGCTGGTTCTAAAACTCAGCCTGCTAACCCATGCCTTCATGCTTTGGCACTGCTGTTCCCTCTGTCTTGAATGCCATCCACAGTTCATGTGGTGAATTGTTCAGTTCTAAGCCTGCCTCTAAATCTTACACCCACACAACCCCCAAGGATTGTCAAACCTCTTCTGCCTAGACCACAGCATCTCATGTATTCCCTAGTCATTATTCATCCCCCAAGTGTTTAGGAAGCACTGAGCTAGGCCTTTAGAATTTCCTGGATTGAAATTCCACCATGCTGTGTTTGTTTGCCTGTATCCTTACTGGCCAGTGTGAATTCCCAGGGCCAAGCCCTCATAAAGTTACAGGAGGAGAAAAGCAGACAGGGAAGAGAATTCTGAAACCTAGTGGGTAGCCATTTCCTCTCAATTGAAACAACATTCCCTCCTGGAAGGGAGTGGGAGGACTTGGGAACCTAAGGAAGCATGAAGACTCCAAGAGGCTCAGAGTTAGGATTCACAAAGCCCTCCTCACCCCCCACGGTTCTATAAGCACCGAACAATTGCCAGGGGAGAGAAGACTCTGGGGGAGAAATCTGCAGCCATCGCTGGGGTGGGCTCTTCTGTGATGCAGCTGCCTTTGAGTCCTAGGCTTCTCCAACCCCACTAAACGCCTTGGTTTACCACGGAGACATGGCATCTTTTAGTTGCTCTGTCATTGGTTCTAAGGTGAACAAATGTTTGTTCACGTCTCCCCAGAAATGTCACCTGACACCTAGATAAACATTCTTCCAATTACTACCTGTAGACAGTCCTTGGGAGACTAACTGGGTGTAGAAAGGGAAACTGCAGCCCCAGCGAGGTACACACAGCCGTCTGACAATGGAGGGGTTTGTTCAGTGCCTACAAGTTGCTGGCGTCTTCGAAGGGAGCCCATCCAGTCCTTGCTCCCGGAGGGACTTCCCTTCCCCACACCTTTCAGATTTCCATCCCAGAGCTTTCTACACCTCTTCATATTGTAAGCAATAATAACGCCCACAGCCTATCGGCAGGCCCTGTGGAATCGGCCCGTCGGCCCCCATCTTTGAACTTAAAGAATGAGAACATTTTGTTCCAAACTGCTGGAGCTCAGGGCCTCCCACTTGTTCCTGTGGACAGCTCATCCATCCTTCAGAAAACAGAAGCGTGGGCTAATGCGGTGGAGTAATCGCTCCTATAAGGCCAAATTAGCCCAGGGATCTGGTGAATCGGCAAGGAGGAGGCTGTTGCTAAGCCGCGAGCATGTGCTCTCTTCTTTCAGGGCTGTACTGTGCCAGAGGGAACTGCACTCAGAAACTGCTGTTCCCCCAGTGAAGGGCTAGGGGAGGCAGAGCAGAAGCTTTGGACTTTAGAGAGAGGCTCGATCTACTACCTGCTCTGGCTGTGAGAGCAAAGACTGGGCAAGAGCCTACGTCATTTCTTTTGTAATAACAGTAATAACACTTTCACCACAGTTATCCGGGCATTAGAAGATTATTTAAAAGAGATGCACATAGAGGACATTTAGCACAGTACCTAGCACAAACAGGCAACTCCATAATAGCTTTCTGCTCATCCCACATGCATTTATTAGCACCTCATAAGTCCAGGTTACTCTTTGGGATGCCAGCAGTAAGAAGTGAGCAGGGGTTGGGGATTTAGCTCAGTGGTAGAGCGCTTGCCTAGCAAGCACAAGGCCCTGGGTTCGGTCCTCAGCTGGGGGGTGTGTGTGTGTGAGCAAAATCATCACTCTGAGGTAGGGGCTTCGTATTGAAGAGCTGGATTAAAGCTTGTAGGCTGTGTCAGGTGGTGGAAGAACTGGGGAGGAATATGAAGTGGGATGGAGAGAGAGCAGAGAGTGGCAGTACAATGGGGGAGGGGGAGGGCTGGCTGTGGAGGTGAGAGACATCTGAGCAAAAGCTTAAAGGGCTGGCTGGGCAAGACCACTCCAGGGAGCCGGTGCCACTGCGCAGACCCTGAGGGGAGAGTGCCCTCTGTTTAGGGTCACTTGACCCCCCGAGACTGGAGTTAGCTCTTCAAAGGACTCTAAGGGAGGAAACCAGAGAAGAGGGGAGAAGTCCAGATCCTGGAGGGCTTGAAGGTCTCGGTGAGGATTTGGGCCTTTCTTGAGATAGAACCACTAGGGAAGTCTGAGCATCAGAGAGCCACCTTTGGGACCTCCTGGCTAATGGCTGTGGGATAGATTAGAGTAAGGGGAGAAGCATAGAATAGTGCAGAAAAGCATTCATCCTTCAAACCCTGCCAGGGCCTGGGCTCAGAAAAGGAGAGCTTTGTTCCCACTTCATCCCAAGAGAGAAGCAAGTTTTTAAAGGACTACCCAGGAAGTCCTAGAAGATAGGACAACAGAGGGCAAGAAGTGGTTGTGTCTAGTTTATATCTGTCCCAGCCAATACAGATTCTGTTCTTACCTGCTGGCCAGATGCTCTGTATCCGTCTCCGGCCACTGCAGAGTCTCTTGGGATGTGCTGGTGGCCTGTGTGCCAGTTGGATTCCTGCTCCGGGAAGGGTGGTGCCCGCCCCTTGTTCAGCTGACTCACAATAAACTGGGATGGGCCCAGGTTAGGCTGTGTGACTAGGTAAGCAGAGCAGTCACCAGGCCCACATGAGTGAGGCCTTTGCCTTAGTCTAGATTCGGAGGTGGAGTTAAGGACACACAGCTGATATGAGCTGTTGGAGAGATGGGAACAAATCAGGGCCACTTGGCTCTATGAGGAAGTCAGCCCTGGCTGTGGAGGCCTCACTCCACCGATGGGGAAAGTCAGCTGACTGGAGAGCAGTGAGATGGATGCCTTGGGTTTTTTAAAGTGGCCACATTTTGTAACCTAGTATATTCCTTAGAAATGTACTACAATGAAGTCTCTGGATCCATCACTGTGTTTCTCTTAGTAAAGCCAATCTGGAAATCCCCAGATGCCTGACACTGGTTAAACGAGTCACCAATCTATGGAAGATGACAAAATTATTAAATCACTTAAGGAAGGTGCCAGAGGAAATGGGACCACGATACTAGTGAGACTGTGAGGATCACCGTTGGGGGCCTCCCGTCTGGTTTTGTTGTCAGAAGTTTGTTTTCCTGCAGCAGCTGAGGAAGATGTGTTTAAATGCTGAGTGGCTCTGGATGGGAGCCGAGGTTGAACTTTTCCCCCTTTCTCTTGTTCATCCATTCTCTGAGATGCTAGGGATCAAGCGAATGCTAGCCTGGTATCTCCAGCCTCTGGTGAGCTTTTCAGTTTGTACTTCTGTATGGGTTCCAATGAGGACAGGTGTGTGTGTGTGTGTGTGTGTGTGTGTGTGTGTGTGTGTGTGTGTGTATCTATCTCTGCACCCCTAGTGCTGGGGTTACAGATGTGTGCTGTTCTCAGCTTTCACATGAGTGGTGGGGTCCTCACTACCCTCTGAGCCATCCAGCCAGCCTTGCTTATGATTTTCCTGAGAGCAGTAAACAGGTTTTTGGTTTTGTTTTTTGTTTTTTAATTGGATGTCTCCTGGAAGGGAATTGAGGAACTGTGTTGAGGTAGTGTTCAGGTAGGACAGAGTTTCTTCCTGTCTTTCTTTTCCTTTGTCACTTTTGTTTGTTTGTTTGTTTTGACACAGGGTCTCTCTATGTAGTCTTGGCTGACCTGGAACTGACTATGTAGACCAATCATAGAGCTCTGCCTGCCTCTGCCTCCCAAATGCTGTGTTTAAGGTTTGTGCCACCATATCCAGTCCTTTGTGCCTTTGAAATTTTGAAATGTATATTTATCCCCGTAAATAATCATATGAAAGTCAAGTTCAACAGAAGAGGAGAGGAATTCCTGGTGGGTATAGTTGGATGTTGTCTAGGGAGGGACCTAGGAGTCATGTGCTAGGCAATCCCCTAAGGAATGACGCAGTGCATCGACCTACTCAGGGTGGGGTGAGTATCAGGGATGCTTGCCAGGCAGGCTCACTTCACAGTTCCCATGATGAGCCCGGCAGGATTGTACTAACAGCAGATCCTGAGGCACTGCATGCCTGTGGGGAGCCTACAGCCCAGAGTGCCACACAAGGAACACATCCTAGGAATGGTGACACCCCTGTCCACGTGGTAAAAACCTCTGACTCTGACAATCATCATCTTGTATTGCTTATGTTCCCAAAAGGCTGAAAATTCAACCTGTGGTTCCTTGAATGCAAAGCATACATGTTAGATCTACAAAGTGTGTCCTCAAAATAAATACTAGAACCAGGGCTGTGACCAGGATTTATTTCTGTTTTTTATAGACTTGCATGAATAATTTTAATAGGTTTAAAACATTGGTGGCTAAATGTGCAGGATTCAGAAACTCCCTGACAGCACTGTAGCAGATCTGAGCAATCAGCCACTGCACCTTCGCTCTTAGCCCATGGCTTGTTCAGAATCCCCCATGCACTCAGGGCGGTGGTGGCGCACGTCTTTAATCCCAGCACTCGGGAGGCAGAGGCAGGCAAATCTTTGTGAGTTTGAGACCAGCCTGGTTACATAGTGAGTTCTAGGACAGACAGAACTACATAATAGAGAGATCCTGTCTCCAAAAAAAAAAAAGGAAAAAAAAAACCCACAAATGAAGGTGAGGTTGATGCCTAGAGAAGAGCATTGCTTTTGCATACATGTGCTGACAAAACCACTTGAGTTTTATATGTGTCCTGTAGGTAGACATGTTGGAGAAAAGAATATTAAGCTTACCTGTAGGAAGAGGCAATGAAGAAAATGGAGTTGGGTACAACTGATTCCATTGTGAAATAGCAACAAGATGGACAGTTTTCTTGAATCAGGTTGGTCATTTCTCTACTTACCAGGTTATTCATATACTTTACAGAGTTGTAAAATATGAAGCTAATTTTTGAAAATATTCCTAAAGCTGATCATGGTAGTGTGTGCATTTGGGAACTAAAGTAGAATGATTTCCTTGGGTTGGAGACCATCTTGGACTTACAGCGAATGCCAGGCCAGCCAGGGATACATAACAAGACTGTCTCCAAACAGCAAACATGGAGGATGGGGAGAAGTTCTGTGAAATGCTGTCCTCTGGACAGAACACTGCTGCTGCACACACAGATCCACCGGAGCTGTGGTTGCCTGTGTGCATTCAAGCCAGTTAAAATTCCAATATGGATCATGGAGTGGCCTGCCTGAGGCCCTACCCAGAGCTGAGGAGCTATTGGCAACTGAGGCAAGAGTACTTCTCTCCCTTCTCCCTCCCCTGCCTTTCCTTTTTTTTCCCTTCCTTCCTTCCTCTTGCCTTCCCTCTCTCCCCCACCTTTCTTTCTTTCTGAGACAGGGTATCACTATGTAGCCCTGGCTGGCCTGGAAATCACTATGCAGACTAGGCTAGCATAGGACTCGTAGAGATCCACCTCCTCTGTCTTCTGAGTGCTGGGTTAAAGGTGTGTGCCACCATGCCCAGTCTGAGAGCTAATTTTATTTGGAAAAGCCTTTTAGCGAACTTGAGACCCTTCAGAAATTAATGGTTATGTGAACATCCTTCTAAGCCTTAAGCCTTTAAACTCAAGACATGGTTAGGGAGCATATTATGAAAATCTGAAGACTGACATTTTTAGCTGAAAATTAGAATTTCAAATGAAAATGAAAGTTCTTCAGCTGAAGTCTGAAGAATGTAGGAAGGATGAACTTGTTAGTCGTGTGGACTGTGGGCTGGTGGCTCATGGTGTGGTGACCTTTTCTTGCATGAGTGTCAAGTATGTGACCTCGTGCTTAAGAGACTAACCTCCATATCATGTAATCACTGTGGCCATGGGTTCCCGACACTGACAGCCTCTTTCAGTTTGTCTCAGACAGTACCTTCAACTGCGATATTTACTGGATAATCAAGTGAGGGCAGCATGTCTAGTGGTGGCCTCCAAGCCTTCTCTTTCTCAAGGTTATTAGTATTTGGGAGCTTGTCTAGGAACTTGTCTGTTTACAGCAGAGGAAAGACAGGAGTTTATGAAGTCTGACCTTCCTTGCATGCTGTGTCTACTGTTTATTTAATAGTGGCCAGTTACTGTACCTAGAGATTTAATGGTTTTTCCTTATACAAATTATAAATTTACCATAAAGTGGAAAAAAAAAAAAACCCTTCAGACATAAAAATGTCAAGGGCACTCTGATAATGAAAGTCAAAAGATCACCAGGATTTCAGTGACAGAATTCTCTACTGCAGGAAGGGAGAGGCTGCTCAACAGGGAAGGAGCTGCTGTGCCCTCTGACCCACCCCTGGAACCTGGAAGGAGCCTTAAATCCAGGCCAGTGAGCCACAGCTGCACCCGGCCTGCTGGGAGGTAATGGTGGGCCAGGTGCCTTCGCGCCATTCCGATAAGCTGAGTGCTCTCCTTGACTGGTCTCCAGTGTTCTTCAGAAATCTCCAGCTGACAGAAGCACCTTGTTGGGGCACACAGTCAAGCTTGGTTGCAGCAGAATGCAGTTGCCTGGCTCCCAGCCCCATGCAGCTGGACTACATACAGCCTTTTACCTAGAAGACTTCACTAGGTCTAAGCAGCTTCAGCTTTAAAGGGTGGCAAGAATCTCACTTCATGGCCACATGCACGGGAGGCCAGAAAATGACATCTTTTGGCTAGGCTACTACCAAGTAACACTGGGGTTCCTTTAGCAAGAAAAGGGGGGCCAGGCATGGTAGTGCATGACTTTAATACCAGCTCTCAGGAGCCAGAGGCAGGCAGATCTCTAAGTTCAAGGCCAGTCTAGTCTATACAGGAAGTGCCAGGCCAGCCAGGGCTACATAGTAAGACCGTCTCAAAAAAAAAAAAATTAGAAGAGGAGGAAAAATGCAAAGCAAAGGGAGGAACATGGGCATGAGGCAGGCACTGAACAGCCTTAGCCACCTTTGCCCAGGTGTGCCTAGAGCCTGAGCTGATTGATCCTGCCTGGCACTGTGCCTGTCTGTCCTTCCCAGACACTGTCCTGAGAACATCTGCCTACAAGGGCATGGTGCTGGGCGGTGGTGGCGCATGCCTTTAATCCCAGCACTCGGGAAGCGGAGGCAGGTGGATCTCTGTGAGTTCAAGGCCAGCCTAGTCTACAAAGTGAGTTCCAGGACAGCCAGGAGTGTTACACAGAGAAACCTTATCTCGAAAAACAAAAACAAAAAAAGGGGGGGGGGGCATGGAAGAGTCATGAGTGGGGACCGTTCCTAATCTGTTTCATCCTTCTGCAGGCCTCCATCTTCCTATATGTCAAATGGAGATCATGACTGACAGATTCCTGACCCCATCAGAGAGAGCTCTGCTTCGGGAGTCCTCTGCCAAAGCACACTATCAAGTCTTTGGTCTCTGAGCCTCAGTTTCCACATTTGTTCAAGGACAATTTGGGTGGATTATCCCAGATTTTCCCATGCTCTCTAAGGTCCTCAAAAGGGCCACACAGTGCCACCTGACTCCCTGTTAGGAGCCACAGACACCCATGTCAGCACTTGATCTCCAAAGACAACACCAAACTGTGCTCCCCGCCCCCCATTTGGCAGTTTGTTCTAGCCAGGGTAGGCAAGGCCATGTTAAGGTAACAAACACAAAGCTCATTTCTCACTCATGCACATGCCTGCCAATGGCAGATCTCCATGTCTCCTAATGCCAGGTTTCAAGGTTGGTAGAGCAACTGCAGCTCCAAGGACGAAATCCCCAGTGACATATGAAGCTTTGTAGTATGATTAAGCATCGAGGTGGAGCCAATTGTGAATGAGACTCATGCTTAGGAACCTTGGACACTTGTATTCACACAGGAGAGGACACCAAGGATAATGTACGGGCCCAGCTCCTCTTCTGAGAGAGAAGCCAGGTGTGTTCTAAGGTGGTCGAGCCTTGTATCCCACATCTCATTTAAGCCCTGGCCTGTCAGGTTTATTTCTTTGATTCTTGTTTCTAGCAGTGAGACTGATGGGTAGAATGGTCTCAGGACCCACAATCCAAACTCACAATCCTGAGGTGGCTGCTTGAGGTGGCAGGGACTGAGAGTTCCCACTTGGGGCCTGCATAGGCCATGCTGAAGACTGGAAGAATGGGTCCCCTCAGGAGAAGGAACCAGGGTTCCTGAGCTGGGGGGAGGGGGGCTGTACAGGCCAGCAACACCAGAGAGAGAAACAAGGTCCCTGTGGGATAACAGTGAAATGAACCATTTTTGAGCACTTAGCTGTACACCAGGACCTGAGTCCCTGGATCCAAGGGATTATCTCAGAATCCTCACCCTATCCCTAGTGTAAGTCAAACTTGACAGATGAAGAAATTGAGGAACAGAGTTTAGGTTTCACACCCAAGGTAAGAATTGACAGCCAGATTCGAATCCAGGCAGTCTGGTTCCAGAGCCTGTGCTCTTAACTGCTATTGTGTGTGTGTGGGGGGGGGGATATGTGAGAGAGGGGGTCCCATTTCCCTCTGGGGAGGCTGTCCCAGTTTTCTCCTCCTCTGCCTCTGATGCCAGGAGGAAGGAGGGACCAGGTCAAGCACAGGCCCTTGCATTTCATTGCCAAAGCTGGAGTATTAGGCAGAACTGCCCAGCTACAGGGAAGTCTAGAAGCTCCCAAGTGGAGAGGACCCCAGGCTGTAGGTCCTTACTGACCACCATCCTGCCTCCACTGAGCTGAGCCCCTGCAGCACAGGGGTGAGGCGCTTTAGTGCAGAGCCACGCAGCTGTCTTGTACGGAACCATGGGGTGCTGGGCTGTATCCAGAACACCTGTTTTTTGTGGGCTCTCCTAGATTCAGTGACACCAAGTTGAATTTTAAATAAAAATACCAAATCTGACTAATAATAGTGTAACTTTTAAACCAAATTTGATGTACCCTATTTAAAAGTTCATTTTTGTTTATAAAATTGCACTTCATAGTCCCCTTAGGAGGTGACCAAAGTTCTTGACATCTAAACTTCATTTAGCTATAATCACAAACTATAGAAATGATCCCTGAAAGCAGAGTCTAGCAGGCTGTACTTCCAAGGGTGTTGCCTGGCTGTGGGAATCAGTCTTCTGCACACTCGGCAAGCTCTATTTCCATGTGACATCATTCCAGATGATGAAGTTATAAGGGATCCAATCTGGTGAAATGCTTGTGTCCTGCCTGGTGCCCAAACTGGAGAGCTGACAGTGATGACGCCTAACTCACCCTCCACCTGCTGGCTGTCATGTTCCTGCGATATTAGTCATCAGACACATCCTCATCCCAGAAATATTAAAGACAGTGGGGTTGGGAGGCAGTGTGTAAGAACTAGTCATGACCCAGGAGTTCACTTTCCAGGAGACAGCTACTGAGCTCAACAGGACAGAGATGTGACGTCAGGCTGGTGACAGCACTGCTTTTTTTTTTTTTTTTTTTTTTGGTTTTTCGAGACAGGGTTTCTCTGTGTAGCTTTGCGCCTTTCCTGGAACTCACTTTGGAGATCAGGCTGGCCTCGAACTCACAGAGATCCGCCTGCCTCTGCCTCCCGAGTGCTGGGATTAAAGGCGTGCGCCACCACCGCCCGGCCAAGCACTGCTTTTTTAAAAATATAATTTATGTGCATTGGTGTGAAGGTGTTAGATACTCTGGAACTGGAGTCACGGTGGTTGTGAGCTGCCATACAGTTGCTGGGAATTGAACCTGGGTCCTCTGGAAGAGCAGCCAGTGCTCCTAACATCTGAGCCATCTCTCCAGCCTCAACATCACTGCTTTCTAACAGCAACTTCAAGTAACTTCTTTCTGAAATTAAAAAGTCCAGAAGAATCACAAGGCCCAGGGAGGGAAGACTGTCCAAGCACATGGCCATCAGGGGCAGGGGTAGAATGGCAGCCCCACCCCCTCCTCGTGTGGCTCTTATACTTTAACATAGTTTTATATTTTTATTACCTTTATTACAAAGTACGTGTATGGATGCTTTGCCTACATGTATGTATGTGCACCACGTGCATGCCTGCTGTCAATGGAGGCCAGAAGAGAGCGTCAACACCTGGAACTGGAGTTACTGATGATTGTGAGCCGCTGTGTGGGTCCTGGGAACCAAAGCCAGGTCCTCCAGAAGAGCAGTAGGTGCTCTTAACTGTAGAGCCACGTCTCCAGCCCTGGCCCTCGTATTTTGGTGTTCTTCCTCATATACACCCATCCTAGCCTGGCCTGTTGGATCCAAGAAGCCCTTCCCAGGCACCTGGTCTGGGTGTGCCTCATGGCAGAGTACCGGCACTTGCTTGCTCTTTCTGATGTTGACTTCGGAGCCGGATCCAGACTTTCTCCCACTCCCAGCCACGAAAGCTTTAGCCCGTTCCCCCACATTGACTGACGGCTCTCCATTGTTTAAAAAAAAAAAAAGGCTATGGCATCTACCTTACGGTGTTGATATTAAGTTTCAGAGAAGGGTAGCTTCACCCCTCTTCTCTACACAACATAGTAATGGCCAGAAAATACAGACTGAATTTTTTCCTTGTATTGGATTTCACATTGTGCCAATCTAAAATAACCAAATAAGCAAACAGTATTATTATTTGTGATGTGTGTCCATGTATAGGCCAGAGATCAACCTTGGATGTTATCTATCAGGTATCATCTACCTTGTTTTTTAATACAGGGTCTGGAGCTAGTTAAGTATGCTAGACTGGCTGGCAGTGAGTCCAGGTATCTGCTTATTTCCCCTCACTGGAATTACACGTCAGCTTTTTCATGTGGGTTCTGGAGATCAAATGCAGGTTCTTTACACTTGCACAGGAAGCACCTGACTAACTGAGGCTTCTTCCCACTCTCCATAAACATGGTACTATAACATAGAGTTTCCCCCACAAGAGGAGAGAACACATTAAGAGTGAGCCTGAGCCGGGCGGTGGTGGCGCACGCCTTTAATCCCAGCACT